ACACCTGTCCAAAGCCAGATTTCATCAGCGAGAACCACTTCCTGCGCATTCCCGTCAATGACAGCTATTGTGAAAAGCTGCTGCCCTGGCTGGAGAAAACCAACGAATTCATTGGTAAGAATATTTTCCTCAGAATATTACCATATGGCTTGCTGATGCTGCACAGAGGGTCAGGCTTGACTGAGTCAACTCAGAATAGCTCAACATTTCTGCTTACAGTAATGACAAAGGTTAGGATTATGTTAGACCAATTCAAGCAGCACTTTATGGGAGGTCTGACAGATGTCAGCACTTGAGCTGTGCTGAAACCATAAACCTAGTGCTGTAGTAGCATTCTGGTTCTGACTGTTTTTCCTTATCCTTCTCTTTCATTTCTTGTCCAGACAAAGCCAAAGTGTCAAACTGTAGAGTCATCGTCCACTGCCTGGCTGGAATTTCTCGATCTGCAACCATTGCCATTGCTTACATAATGAAAACCATGGGGTTGTCATCGGATGATGCCTACAGGTAAATACAATTATGTAATGTCTGTTTTTTTTTTCAGTTGTGTCATTTACAGTATGTCATGCTTCATGTTTATTTAATGTTTACACACCAAATGACAGACCAAAACTAGTCAATATTTGCCGAAATTTAGAGGCATAATCCAACTGTATGTATACCTGAAATATTGACATTGGAATTATGACTAATGCTGAGTATATTTGACTTGTTCTGGACTGTTTTTGGTGAAAAAGTTTCACCTCATGAAAGGCTTGCTTATGAGCCAACAAGTTGAACCAGCCATTTTTAAGCAGAAAAACACACAAAAAATGTAGTGAAAGAGGTCTGGGGACTCACAATTAGGAACCACTGACTTGAAGGGAAATTAAATCCACAAATCATGTTTTCTTTACTTCCCCTAGGTTTGTGAAAGATCGTCGACCCTCGATATCTCCTAACTTCAACTTCCTTGGGCAACTCCTGGAGTTTGAGCGAGACTTAAAGCTCAAGACGCCCTTAACCTGCAACCCTCTGAGGTCAACAACTCACCATCCTGAGGTGATAGAGGTCAACACAGAGACTGTAGAACAGAGCAAAGAGAAAAGCCATTCTCGTCAAAGAATGCAGGAAACTATGGTATTAAATGTCAAGCCACCATCACCTACCTCACTACGAAAAGACCTCAGCAGCCTTCATCTCTCCGCAGACCAAATTCTCCACAACAACCAGCTCAAATGTTCCTTCCAGCTCGACATCAAGTCTGTCTATTCGTCAAACCAGCATCTCCGAACCTCCCCTAATAACTTGCAATCAGACTCAGAAACCATGCCCATGCTTTTCAAACTTGACAGTCCAAAAAGCACCAGCAGTATGTGTTCGTATTCTCCATCCCAAGAAAGCCCAAGGAGCCCCAAGCCAGAGTTGTGGCGATCATCAGTAAGAGAATCTACACAGAAAGACAGTGGCACCTTTGAGAGGTTATCGACCACAACTCTATCTCTTAACCTCAACCTGAATCGGCAAGTTCCAGTTGTTCAGGATCCTGTTCATAACGCCAACGTCAAGTCGTCTTCATTCCTCAGCTTGCCCCTGACTACATCTTCTGTTTGGACCAAGCACAGAGGAGTGACTCAAGCCACGACGCCTGGCACACCCACTGAAGACCACCCGTGGTTCTTCAACTCAGATCTGGACTCTTCAGGGTCGGGTTCTGGGAGCGCTGTGAGGTTTGGAAGTGCTCCCAGCTCCGGTGTGATTCAAGTGGAGACACAGTTCAAACGAAGAAGCTGCCAGATGGAGTTTGAGGAGAGCATCAGCACAACAAGAAGCAGTGAGGACTTTGGAAAGCTCGGGAAGCAATCTAGCTTTTCAGGCAGTATGGAGGTCATTAAGGTGTTATGACAGAGAGCCTGAACTTACATTGGTCATATTAAAGCCTCTCTTGATTAAGAGATTGAGAAAGAGGACAGATAATTTATTACAGAGATTTATTTGCAAAAATCTGTACAGAGAGGTCAATGTTTGGAGGTGAATCTCAGAAAGGACATGTTGCATGCATACTTGCATGCGTACATTAGCCCATGCATTATGTTCTCCAAAGGACAATAGACCTGAAGGCCTGAGCTCACCCTATTGTTATGATAGAAATGAAGGATGGATGACATAAGCCATACACCAAAGAATAAATATGCCTGAGGTACCCTTCACTTGAAGGATACATAGTATGAACTATTTATGTTACAGCATGGCTATTAAAAATACAAGCGAATGGGCTATTTACATAGCGCTGGATCATTTATGACCGAGAACAAGGTTGAGGTAAAATATTTGCTGTATTATATTTAGGCTCCGTTGGAAAACGACCTTTAATATTGTCAGTGGTGTTACCAACTGCCTCTGTGATTTAATATTAGTTTGTGAAAGTAGACCGCATGCGTTGAGCGGAGATGAAATCTCAGCTGTACTACTGTGCACTGGGCATGCTCAGAAATGACTGGCTACCTACAGACAGACAAGCTGCATCCTAGCAGTACAAAGCTTTATGTGTATCCAGAAGTACTTGCATATATATATACATACATATATATATATATATATATATATATATATATATATATATATATATATATATATATATATATATATGTGTGTGTGTATATATATATATATATATATATATGAATGTATATATATATAAACATCAATTTCAATTGAGTATTTAATGTTTCATGCATTGTTGTTTTAACTTATTGTATCGGTTTCATTCTGGTAATGAGCAATAATATAATATTTGAAGACTTCTTCTTTGTGTCTGTTTGATTTTTGAAAAACATGCAAATAAAACTGCACATTTATTGATTTTACTATCAGGGATTCTAAGCATATCTTGCTTTTTAACCAAGGCCCAATGCCTGGAGCAAAGAATTACAAATGAACATGAACAATTAATATATAACAAATTAGGTTATGTGGATCACTTCATTTTCAGTGACAGCTCTTCTTAGTATAGTAGCTTTTACATCAGTTTGTGTTCTACAGTACAGTACATACATGCATTTTCCAAAATGCCACATCCAACATATGAGAATTAAAGAGGATGTAAAAACCTTCCAGGTAAAAATTGGTGAACATATTCAATTGTACCCACATACATGCTCCAATTCTTAGCTAGCATTAACATACTGCAGATATGTGTTCAGTCTTAGCCTATCTCTGCCTGGCCTTTAATAAACCTGAAATAGGTAGTACAACTAATTAGTTAGAGTTTTATTTTCATTGTCTTGGACGGAAGTCGTGTTCATTTCACAGCCATAATGAAAACTGTAGGTTTTCCCAATCAGAAATGGTGTAATACTAGTATAAATAGTGGGGGCGCTGTAGTATAGTGTGATGTCACAAACACAAGTAAGATGTTCCAGTGATGGCCAGGGATGTTTCAGCCCTACTCTGTACCCCTAGTGCACAGGTTTCACAATGTCCACTAGAGCGCAGGTCATGGGGTATGACCTATCTTGCACAATTTAGTGTTTTCTCTGCTCTAACACACCCACTCCAAGTCAGGAAGGACTGTGAATTAGCTTATTAGTTGAATCATACATGTTAGAGCAGGTAAAATTATGTGAACCGTGATGCTTGTGTAACAGCTGCATGCACTCTTATAGCATAATTGAAGTGTATTTGCAGCTTTGCAGGCGACATGCTGCTTATAGCCGCCAACCCATCATATGATTAAAATCTTTTACTAAATATCAACAATGTTACTTATGTTCAGGAAATATTATACTAAGAAAGTGTTTGTGATAGAATGCACAGACACGAGCTTTCATTCATTTGCTAGCACCGATGTAGTGAGCACCAGATGTGTAGGTTGGGGTGTGGTATGGGTTGGTGCGAAGTGGGTCACGCTGCTTATATCTTTTCCAGAGAAATAAGAGGTTTCCCACAAATGTTGTTTATGCTTATATATATAAATTTATGGGTGATGTGAGTCTGAATAGCTACCAGTTGCCAAAACAGAGGCTGAAGTAGTCAAGCTTGTAGCCCAGTTTTTTAAAAAGTATAATACAACAGTAATCCAATTAGAAAATCTCAAATTTTGATTTATCAGTTTTGGCCAGTAATAAGAAAGCTGGAAAATAACGTATCATCTGGCCAGATAACAGTAACAACACTAGAATGTGTTTAGCAGATGCAATTTTGTACGATTGACTCTCTTTCAAACACTATGGGAGACCGGTTCCCCCAATATGACCCCTAAATCTACTCCTGCGCACATATAATGTAAATGTAGCAAAACACATTTAAGGATTAAAATTGATTTTTCATGTTTGATACAGAATGTGAACCGAACACATCATGTTTCATTTTAGAATAATCCACAATGATGTCTAAGATCATCCAATCACAGGATTACTTTCTATTCTAAGAACAAAACACAAAAGAAGTGGTGAGGCTGCTTTTAGTGTTTATGCTCCCAAACTGTCAAACTCTCTCCCGCAAGACATACATCTCCAGATTGCAATTACAAAAACAGCTTCAAAAAGACATGATTTTCTCTCAGTTTGTTTCTTTTCAAGTGCCCTATTTAGTGTTCTACTCAGTTCTAAGTGACACATTTTTTAAATTTTACCCAAACGAGTGCAATGCTAAAAAAGATTGTTAATAATAATAATAAATAGTATTTATACAGCACCTTTCATACATTAAAATGCAGCTCAACGTGCTTTTCTCTAGTTTTATTTATTTAATTATATTAATTATTATTTTTGCATTAATTTTTTTCTAAACTACAATTCCCTGCTTCAGCTATTTTGTTATCACTATTATTATTTTAGCTTAATTAATTACTTAATACTTTATTATTATTATTATTAGTAGTAGTAGTATAACTTTTTTTTTGTTCTTTTAAAGGACTTTGAGCTGCATTTCAGTTTATGAAAGTTGCTATATTTATTGCTATTTTTATTTTATTTATTATATTTTTTTCATTTTATATTACTATTATTATTATTATTGGGTCCCTACAGGACTAGCGGTTAGGCCTCTGTGCTCTCACCTCTGCAGCCTGGGTTCGATTCGTGGCCAGGGAACCAACCCCAGCCACTGGGGTTGCACAAGACAGTGCACTCCCAGTGCCGGTCCCAAGCCCAGATAAAATCGGGGAAGGTTGCGTCAGGAAGGGCATCCGGTGTAAAAACTGTGCCAAATCAAATATGCGGGCCAATGATCCGCTGTGGCGACCCCTAACGGGAGCAGCTGAGAGAACAACAACAACATTATTATTGTTATTATTATTATTATTAATTTAGCATTGTTTTATCATTGTACTATTTTGGGTACAATTTGGAAATGCATAATTTAGACAGAGAACTGAACACTGAATACTGAAGATGTATTCTAAAAGGAACAAAGTGGCCTTTTAGTCTACCTGCATGTAACTTTCTGACTCATTAGTACCTAAGAACTCCTATTCTCAAGCAAAGGTCATGCGGTGCATGTCAATACGAGCCACTCATCCACTGCGAGACTTATTTCTGGCATTGCTCACTTGCCTGTATATTCATGCTGACTACACAATTAACAAACACTATAACAATACCCAAACCGCTTCTAGCAGGCTGATTCAGCACCAGCCAGCAATAGATTAGCGCATGAGAGTTAATTGCTATTAACCATCTGCTACTGTTGCGATCAACATCTAAATCTAATTGTGCATAAGCGATATTTGTTGCAGTAAGTGTTAAAGTCCAGTGTGTTGTAGTGCAGACACAAAGATTTAGACTGGATGATTATGGACTTTCCATATTATTCTATACTGGTCAAATCCATGAAGCATAGCCAGGGGTCTGTGATTATTTTTGTTGTTGTTATTGTTGTTGGTACAATGATGGAAATTATACTACAGCATTATCAACCATCAAGGCTGTTATATTTATGATTGAGTTCTTTGAATAGATGAGGTTCATTACAAAATCACTGCTGAGAACATCAATGGAATTAATTTTACAGTCAAAGGCTTAAAAAGGTTTAAAAACCCCTGTTCTATATACTTCATGTGCGTGTGTGTGAGCGAGTGGGTGTGTTGATCGACCTTTGTAAGCAGAACTGAATGGAACCCTCTCTGCTAATGAGGTGATGTGTTTACGATGGATTTTTTTAGGCGTGTGCGCATCGCAACATACACATGCTTACTAATTTCAACCTGCAAAATTTACAACCATCACTGACTGGTCCAAATCTATGAGCACTAATTGTATGTTACATGCCAGATTCCTTGTTTCGTTGTAATCAGCGAGGAGACATAAAGTATGAGTATGAATGTCGTAACTCAAATTTGGTCGTTCGCGGTTGGCATCAGCTGCCTAATGTACGCATTAGGTCATAATGGTATCATGCTAACAAACTCGTATAAGCACTAAACCGCTATTTACAGTAGATCTGCCATTGCAGTAGATATGATCTAATAGCTTGCTTTCACAGCAGGTCATGTGCAGTGTAAATTCTGTAATTCTGTCTGCATGTAATAAGTGTACAAGAATGAGAGAAGACTGTGTGTGTGTGTGTGTAAGCCTGTGCGTGAGAGTGGGTGAGCAGTGGAGAATGGGAGCAGTTGATTGTAACCAGACGTGAGTGTGTAATGTGGCGGTCTGGCGCCTGGACGCAGACCTTCTATATGGAAACTGTTAAAGTCTCATTACGTCACCAGCCGAGTTGCTCTCCTTTCCATGATCCAGAGCGAGTGAGTAATGCGGCCTTAAAAATAAACAGCACTTCTCTCTCTCTCTCTCTCTCTGTCTCTCCCTGTTTTTCCTTTGCGCTCCTCCGTTGAACTTATATAACCCCCAGCTCCAGAGTACTACTTTTCTACTTTCAGCCATCAATCATAGCGAAAGGAAAATGAAGCAAGGACGTAAATGCGACAGAAAAGATTGAGCAAAGTTATCTGCAACGGATGGTGTGCTGACATTTCGGTAACACAACCTTCCCCCCTCCCACGCTCCACTTGTTAATAAGCCAGAGATATCGAGTCCTTTGCTTCATATGGAGGAATTATCATTCGCCTTGCAAACGCATTTTAGATCTGCACTCTTGCATCACCTCTCGGTCTTCTCAAGGAAGAACGGTGCACTCATCATTTTTATGCTCCAGAATGAGTTCAGAAATTAAATTACACTGCTGCGTAGGCATGCAGCGAAACTAATATCACATTCGTTCAGCAAGTTGAAAAACAGTCTTTATCTTTATTCCAATGCTAAATCTTACTGTAATGCATATGCATACTTAGTGATACCAAGCATCAAAAGTTTTACACAATGGGGTTTTATTTTTGTCCCGTTCAAGATGCCTGGTTCCTGCTTCCTGTGCCTTTTCCTCTGCCTGTCTGCCCTTTTCTGCCCTCAAAGTCACCCAAGCTTCAGGCGTCATGCCTATTTTTGCAGCCCAAGCGAACAGCGATAGCCCCCTGTCCCATTTATTATGGATGAGGATGCAATGTAATGCTTTCTCAACCCTTACGTCCTTTAATGGGCTCTTGCATAACAGCACCATTTATGAATAAATAATGTGATTACAGTTTAGCTTTTGTCAGGCAGACAGAAGCATCAGACATGGCGTCAGTGCCATTCAGCTTCTGCAGGATTTATGGTAATCATACATCTATTTGTGCAAACTGAACATAACAATGTACATAGATACATATAAAATTCATTAACAATTTTGTATTCCTCACTGTACAGGAAGTGCATAGTTATAGTTATCTACATGTTTTTGTCTTTAATTATTTAATATCTCTTAAAACATTTTTGTTCAAAAGATAAATTTCCACTTTTTTAAAATTAAATGTAACTAATTCCAGATATATTTGGTGTATTAAGTTTGCTTCTTTAGCTTTTTATGCGTAGATACAAGGCTAATATAGCTAACAATTCATGAACGTTTAGCATTAGCTGCTAGTTTAGGTTTCATGCTGTAGTTATCTAATTATTTTGTCTTCCAAACCCTGATTATTAAAAATCTCTAAAAGTATTTCAGACCAAAAGTGATATTTATACAGTTTTTAAATTTACCCCAAATGTAAATGAAAGCCAAGTCATGTTTGGTGTAGCAAGTTTGCTTCTTTAGTTTTGTGCTGTAGATACAAGGCTAATACACAGTAGCTAACAATTAAGGATAGCATTAGCTGCTAGTTTAAGTTGGGGTGTTTTGCTGTATACATTTTTTTCCTCCCAAACACTAATTATTAAATATCCCTAAAAAAATGTTTCAGACCAAAAGTGAAATTTGTACATTTTTAAAATTTACCCCAAATGTAACTGAAAAAAAGCCAAGGCATGTTTGGTGTCTGAAGTTCACTTCTTTAGTTTTGAACAGAAGCTAACATGGAGACTAATAATTGTAGCTAACAGTTAAGAAACAGCCGTTAGTTTAGCACTGTGCAAACCGCAGACCCAACTCCTTCCACACTGACTTCAAAAGACATTAAATTCAAACTTTTTATTGTATAACATGCAGTTAGATATATAAATCTATATACACTATCTATGAACAGAAACGTATATAGCTTAACACAGTTTAGCTAACTCCTGCTGCATGTTAGCGAAAAGCTGTTTGTCTGTGGGTCGGGGTTGAATGTTCATCATGATGTTGGACTTTTAAAATAGTATATAAGTGTCAGATTTTCAGTTTTGCAATTTAGCGGGTTTGAGTGAACATTTTTGGTCTGGTTTAGGTTATAGGTCAAGGGTCCTTTTTTTTTTTTTTTTTTTTTTTGAAGCCAGGGATCCCTTTATCCATAAATTCCATCAGTACTGATTTATTTATGAACATAATCCAACTACTCGATTATTAGACTCATTACTTAATTGTCCACAATGATGTTCTGGCTATTTATGGGACCCATAGAGGTTTTGTTCCTGAACTTTCTTATTTACAAAGCACTAGTTTTTAAGGTATTGAGGTTTGGATTTAACAAATTCACTTCAAGTGACCAGTCAAACAGGCTAATAAGTGTAAGAACTTAATGATAAATATAATAACTTTAATAATGGTAGATTGTGATTTTCAACACTGTAACAACAACAACATCAAATCACAGTCTTCATTTTGAGAACCACTGCATCTCATATATTTGTATATTTAATCTGCCTATGTGGACTTATTCTGCTATTTTATGAAACCATTTATAGAGAAATAATCTAACTAAGACATTTTGAAGGCAAGTGTGAGATGATTTGGTGTGCAGAATGCTAGCTATATTGTTTGTTAGTAATATTAGACTGGTAGGTGCAATGCAACACTGGATGCAAACATGTCTTGGCTGACTGACAGACTATATTTGTAAAAGGAAAAAATGTGCAAAAGTTTATTTATGGCCATACTGTGACTTTAACGACATATTTATTGACTCACACATAATACACACCATTACATTTCCATCCTTCTTGGAAGGTGATGCTAAGTGATGTTGCCCTGTGTGTTTGTAGAGGTTACAGAGTGCAAGCGGGTATATCCACACACTGTAGGGCTGGAGCTAAGTGTTTGTGTGTGTTGGTCGGGGACGTCGGAAGTGTAGAGGTGAGGTCATCGCTCTGAATGAGCTGAGCTGGTAGCGCAAGCTCCGGCTGCAGGCTCGGATGTTTTGCGATCGATCGAGTCTGAGTGCCCTTCGTCTGTCCTGTAGGTGTTATTTCAGTCCCGCAGCTCGGAGACTGAAGTGTTTCAGTAAGTGTCGAGCGCCAGTCTGACACCAACGCTGCAGTGTCATCGCACACACAGAGAAAAACATCATGTCATCAAACTTCCAGCTTCCTTCAGTGCTTTTCTTTCAGGGGTTTAGTCTTTGTAGAAAACAGGCAGGTAAAATGGAGGTGAGCGATGCAGTGTACAGTCTTGGAGGATTGATCAGAACGCCAGTGAAGCAGAGCTGCAAGACAAGCTCTAGGTCCTGTTTCTTTTGCCCTCTTATTTTACAAGAGATTGTTTTTTTCAGAATCTACACTGGAGCAAATACATTCCATACACACTATATGCAAATACAAGGATAGGCAAGGTGTGAATATTATGAGCCAGTTTGACTAGTATGCAGGCCTAA